AGGGAAAAAATCCAGGAGGCTGATGGTTCAAGGCAGCAATGCCAAGCCACTAAGGGACTAGACAATCATCCACCCACCTTTGCACCCTTCCTTAGATCTAGTTGGCTCAGCCTTGCCTGGTCTTCACTTACACAGAATTTGGCCTCTACTTCACCCACCTAGGGGACACCAAGTATCCCTGGTGAGAGCTTATCACTCTTCCTTACTTTACAACCAGTTCCTACTTAAGCTTCCTGCTCAGAGAAATTCAGAGGGTGATATGCTGAATTTACATTCCTTAGAATCTCAGCTTTACAGTTTAATAAACCTTCACCTTTCTTGGGAATGCTCTGTGTTCAGATGATGGAGAAAATGTCCTTCTACTTTAGGGCCCTTTTATTGATTTGCTTTGCAGCTGCCGCTGTCAGAAGGGGATTGAGTGGGATGAAAGAAAGAAAAGCAGTAGGGTATGGGAGCCAATTAAGCTCCAGATCCTGATATTCACAGTTCCTATTAGAAAAACAAATAATCTTTTGAGTTTCAAGGCCTTTGAATCTCAGGAGTAAGAAGGTATTTGAAAAGAAAGTCAGATAGAGCAACAAAAAGGTTTGGGAAGGCCACTGGGAGATGAATAAGACTGCGCTAAATCATTTCTCTGCAAGGGTCATATTGGAGGTGAGGTCAGAGAAAGATGATGAGAGGAAGGAAGGCCAGAAAATCTTTGCCAAATATCACTTTTAATACAATAGAATTTAAATAAGTATTTAGGGGAATTGCAAAAAGCAGGCCATCATCTACTAAACATTCACTTAAAAAAAATACAGAAAACAAAGTATATTATTGAAAAATACAGTTCTGCATAACAAATTCAAGACTAATAGAGGTGAATTCAAGACTCTTTCTTAAAATCCTCTCCTTTAAGATGATGACACATCTTCACACCACAAAATTCACCCTGCTGTTGAGGTTAATACCTTCCAGTTGGTTCTAAATTGCACTTAATCTATAAATTAGATTAAGATGAGTATTCTATCTAAAGACCATGCATTTTTTGTATTCATAGGCCCTTCCATTGAGACAATGCTAATAATTTAGAGTACTAAATATCCAGTGTGGAGATTCCTATCTCCTCATTTCTGAACAATGAACATTCTTGATGCTATCAGCATAAACCTAATAATGTCTGTATTCTCAGTATTTTCATTTTCCTCTTTAAACAATGATAAAGTGCATATTTTTAACACTGCTTGAACTGATGAAACCCAGACTTTATTTATCTCCTTAAAGATTGCCCTCCAAAACTGTTGAGTCTTTGGGCAATCCTACCAATGCGCCAGTATGTTTTAATATAGCCATATTCTTTCTGGCTGTCCTGAGATATACATTTTTAAATGTTTGCTAAAAGGGTTGGGGTACAATACCAGTGATGCATTAATTTAAATTTATTTTCTCTAACTCTGCTAGAAACAGATCTCAGGGTCTCCCCCCCCATGTAGAATTCCATTTATCTTCAATATTCATATCAATTTTCCATTCTTGTAATTGTTTTACAGCATGAGTTTGCATTCCAGAGGCCCTTAATAATATCCATAATTTTTTCTGACACTGCCCTTTTAGGATTTTCCTTCGATACACTTCAAAACAAGCTGTGTCAAGTCTCATACCTGCATTTCCACTCATGCACAGGTTGCTCTATTCCCATCCCCCAAACCTAATTCCTGCTATCCAGCTTAATTTAAGAAGTTCCTTGGGAATGGGAAAAGATGCAGCTACTTTCTTACTATCAAGAATGGAAAGCCTGAGATAACCAGTAAGTAAGAGCATGAACTAGAAACCAAAATGCTCCTAGCAAATCTAATTGAAATACATGATGAATGTATGGATTCATCATATACTGTCTACCAGATGCTACATATTAATAGCAAGAGAGAGCTATCTTTCTGCCTATCAACATTCCAGGAATAGTGGCCTCCTTTTGTTTGTTGGAGACACATGCTGCATTAAATGGAGCAGTGTGACAATTCTTGTGTGAAATCCCTGCCACAGGAGATCAGTGTTAAAATCAGTCTGAAGCTAGAGCTGTTTGAAAGCACCACTTAGGCTTTTTTTCTTAGGCAAAAGGAGTAGGTATTTTCACACACAAAGCTTAAAGCAGCTCTTGTTTCAATTGGGTTTCAATACGCAATGTGTAATTGGATTGCAATGGCCATATTGGCCAGGAAACTCAATCACATTGTAGACGACTCTCTTGTTTTTCCTTCCACATTAACAAACATGTACAGTATTTTTCTTATTTGCTTCATCCATTTATACCATCCATCTTTCAGGGCAAGCCCTCCTAAGGTTTCACAAGAAATAGTTGATTTAAAATATGTTTAACACAAGCCAGATTACACATGAAATTTAATCTCCGGGCAAATTAAATCTCCAGACATAAATATTTTCAAGTGAAGGACAAGGAAAAACATGAGTTTACATTTCCTTTGCAGAGTGAAAGGAAATAATATTTTGGAAATATTATTTAAATTAAATCCACAAAGACATATGCCAAAATCGTTATATATGGTCACTTTCTAGTCAATAGCAAGAAAACCAAGATAGCAGAAAGAAGTTAGGAACCTGTAGTCACTTTGGAGGCCCCTAGGCTGCTATGAGAAGCAACAATGTTGGTGGGCAGCAACTTTTGAGATGCGACAGCTTCTGTAAATCATTTTGCAAAGTGGGGCCATGAACTAAACAATAGTTCCTTCATCCCCTGATTTTCACATGTGTTGCCCCTGATAGCTTTCCACTCAGCAGCTTCAGTTTGGTTGCATCATGCATTTGCTTCATTTGCAAGACGCAGAAATTAAATGCAATTAAATGTGATATTAATTTTTTTTCTGAATGCAGATGAACCTACTTTCATTTCTGTGTGTCAGAACTGATACCATTTTCACTGCAGACCATGAAAATGACAAGGCTAAAATCATATATCATAAATCAAAAAGTTGTCCTGCCTTATAGGATAAACCAGGAAGACAACCCTTAACTGAGCTATGCTGTAGTGCTAATTTCTTAGCCATTTGTTCCTTAAGGGAAAAAAAGTTTTATGATCAGAATACACTGGTTTTTTTCCCCTAGAATGCATGACTTCCTCCTCTGTGATGAAAAGCCAAGAAAGGGGAAAAGACAAAGACAAAAACACATAACAAAAGAATCAGTCAGAAGAGTATAGTTGTATCTCTATGCACAGCTATGAGAAAACTTAAAACAGTGAAGCACAGAGTATATTAAACCCAGGAGTATATCACATCAGGATACAATGTATTTGGTGGATATATGAACATTACAGCATGCCCTTTACATGCTGTTTTTTATTTTGTAGGAAGAAATAGTCACTCTGAAGTTACACAGCCCCTGAACAAATTATCTCAGTTTTGCATGTTTTAAAATATTACAAAATTCCATTTATCAAATCTGATTTTTAAAATGTATCCAACTTTAGTTTAAAATGTAGCCTGATCAAACAATTTAATCATTACTGATTAAACAAATAAATTCAGTAATATAATACATTTTTACAAGTTCTTTTCATGAGTATATGCATTTTTGTACAGATTTTTCACTAATATAAGCTTTGCATTTGTTGGAAAAAATACACTGAGACATTCAGCGATCTGCAAATTATAAATAGCTAAACTGACTGGAAAAATATGAAATTAGATAAGCTTGCATTTAAATGCAAACAAAATTAATTTTGCCCTCATCTCTAGCCCTTGCATGCACTTTATTGGCATTTAATTCAGGTGGCCAGAAAGAAATGTGAAAAACATTGCGAGAAAAGATGCCACTCTGACTTTGTAAAGCCCCACAAAGCTATTCTGGAAATTGAGGTAGGGTTTAACAAGAAAATCAATCTACAAAGTTCACTCAAGCAATGCTGTTCCTGTGATGCATTTTAAATTGCCTGTCAAAAGGTGAAAGGGGAGTTTGTTTACCACATTAAATTGCCACTATGATTGAGTCAGGTGGCTCTTTAAACCAAGGGTGGCAGAGGAAATGATAGCTGAAGGCCAATAGCCTTTTAGTCTGGTTGAAACTTGTTTCAAATTGTAAACTGCAAGCATATGGCCATAGAAAGATTCTTCCTAGCTTGAAGCTACAAGCTGTGTACCTTCAGGGAAAAAGGAAAAAATGATCCACACAGGAGCTGATTAACATGTAAGGGCACAATTAGGACTGCTTTTCCTTTGTCATACCTCATCCCTTCTGCTTTCTTATTCTTTTTCCAGATTAGATGAACTCTTGCTTCTTTTTGATTTT